AAATCGGTCTAAAAAACAAATGTTGCTCCTTTATTCATTTAACAATTTGAAAGCCTCTTATGAAATGTCAAAATCCATGGGTGATACCCCACGTTGTTAGCGCCAATGTCTAAAATGAAGACAACAGGAAAAGGTGATTCAATTATTAGGTCTAGCTAATCTGAATGTATGGTCCTGGTAGATACTATTTTGAGGCAATCCCATCTCAAGTTTCTGCACACAATGAAGTAAGATTACCAAATGCATAAGATCTACCAAGATTTTCCTGGCATGTTTTCAAATAATATGACTTCCTAAAATAATATTCCCTTGAAAAACTCTCAGCAAACACTGGGGGCTACGAAAGTGGGGGAGGGGGTAGAAAGAGAAAAGAGGAATAAGGGTTTAAAAACCACCCACTGGAGACCATGCTTTCCATCTGGGGGTGGTTTCCTTAGAAGTCAGACCCTCATCACCATGCAATAGAACTATGTAACAAACCTGCACACGTATCCCTTAAATCTACAAATAAAATTATATATATATATTTAAAAACCCTCTCTTCCTTTATGGCCAACAATACTAGTACTTGTATGCCACACTATGCTTTCTTAAGAATTTTAATGTACTTGAGTCACACATTATCCCTATGAGATATATGTAAAATAAGTAGGACACTTCCTCCCATTTCATAGATGAGTAAATTAAGTCATGGATGGATGAACAAATGAATCACCCAAAATTACACAGTTAGCTCATAGCAGAACTACAAGTAATATAAATCAGGAGTTCTAGTTGTTGATATAATAATTATTTCAACTCACCAAGAAGTCAACCTAAAATATGTTGATGTTAATAGTGAGAGGTCAATGTGGTAATTAAATAATTGTCCTGTTGATTTTAAGGATAAAGTACATTCTATAGTTACTCCCTTTCATAGTAGCATACTTAAAAATGATATTAATTAATACAATTATAATTCATTCAAGAGATATTTTTGTTGATTACCTACTGCATGCTTGCCAGATACTATTATATCAGTGAACTAAATTACAAAACAGGTAAAAATCCCCAACCTCATAAAGTCTCCAATCTATCAGAAGAAACAAAAATAAGCAATTGACACGATGGTAATAAATAAATAATACTGTATATAAAAAGGTAATGAAGTAAGATTACCAAATGCATAAGATCTAAAGGTAAGTGCTAAAGAAAAGGTGAAGCTAACTAAGGGGCATCAAGACTGAGGATGTGTTGGGTTGGTCAGGGTAGGACTTATTGAGAAGGGAAGATCGATAGCTATCCCAGGGAAGACAGAACAGCCCAGGGAAAAGGTCCCACAGGGATTCGAGTGTGTTCAAAGAACAGGAAGTAATCCAGAGTGACTGAAGCAGCATCAGCAAGAGAGAGAGCTGTGTGAGGTGGGGTCAAAGAAGGAATGAGGAGACAGATTGTACAGGCCTCAGGGATCACCACAAGACGTCTAGCTTTTATTCTGAATTAATCGGGCACCAAGATCTGACTTAAATTTTTCAAGGGATCTAGTATTAATCATTAAATACCTTAAGATTTTATCACTTAATATATAATCTTAGCCATATACATGAATCACAATACACCCCATTCAGAATAAAATACGATTGTTTCCATTTTCCCAAAGAAAATATCAAGGCTCAGAATGTCTACATAACTTGTCTAGAGTAAGAGCTAGTAAGTAGCCAAGTCAGGTGAAAAGAAAAATTCTTCTAACTCACATTCAAAACTGGTTTCTCTTTTCTAAGTACTCATTTACATTAAAGCTATAAAGTAAAGAAAATAATAACTGAAATTAATTAACCAGATTATGCATAATACAGATATTCGAATTGATATATTAAAACTGAATCTAACCTATTTTGCCCTTATGATGAAATTAAATTCTAGGATATAATGTTACAGGTCATTTTCTTGGATTTGCCATTTGTTATGATATATGTACATTTGGGCTAGAAATTTTTGATGCAGAAGTAATCATAAAGTAATTTAAGCATTTAAGAGGTTCTCCAAAGTATTTGAGTTATTGTGATTTATTAGCTATCTACTAAATGCCAGTCACCATGCTAAATTCACTGCACATGTCATAATATTTAATACTCATCAAAAAGTCTAAGAATAGTACTAGAAATCCCATTTTATAGATGTCAACTGTAGATCCAGAGAGGCTAAGTACTGAAAGGTCACACAACTGCTAAGTACCAGAGATAGGATTTTACCTAAATTTCCAAAGTCTAAAGCTAAGTTCTGTTCACAAAGCCACACTGCCCTCCTGCAATGTAATACTCAACATTCCTAATTAAAAGGTCAGCCATATATGAATAGTCCCATTTTCCAGATGATTAACTGATCACAGAAAAATTAATCAAGCATCAACATTTATTTTATGACCACAGTATGCAAATCAATATTTAGTTGCTGAGAGAACAGAGGATTTATGATACAATATCTTGCCTCAATGAGCTTACAATCTTAATTAGATACCAAGAGACACATAAAAGGCATTAAATCATACAAGATAGCACATAAGTACCAAATGAGATATAGAGATAACAACTGCCAATGTAATCTGGGTACTTCAAGTCAGTTAAGAAAGATCTTTATTAAAGAGGACTGGTGCTAAAATGACTTTTACAAGAAAGGTAGGATTTAGATCAGCAGAGAGGATGAGGAAAAATCATTCCAGTCAAACAGAATCATATGACCAAAGCCAAGAAAAGAGATGGGAATGAATTAACAAGAGAAAATGAACAGATGTGTTTGAAGGGCAGGATGAATGAGAGGTGAGGTAAAGAGGTAAATGAAGCCAGATAAGTGGATTGTTGAAGCCCTTGCTAAATTAGGAATCTGAGAGATGGGGAAAGGAATTGATATTTGTCGACTGTTACTTTGGAGCACATGCTTTGTGTCTGCTTCTTGTTTGTGTAATCCTCTCAACATCTTTATAAGGTAGAAGGGTAGATATATAATGGTCATTTTAAATCAAAAGAAACAGATTATCTGGCCAAGGCACAGCTTTGTATGCGTGGATATAGCAGAATTCCCATCTGGATCTGTCTGCCTCCAAAGCATTCCTTCCATTATCTCTCACCACCGTCTACCAAAGGCAATGGGGAACTACCACAGGTATTTAATCAAAAGAAGAGGGTGGTATATAAAATAGAGTGTAAGACTAAAAGAAGAATCTGTGTGATATTAGCACATATCCAATATCAGAGGATTGGGGGGGAAAGACAATAAAGCAAGAAAACCCACTTTGCATATTGCATTAACCCAAATAACAAGGCCGTGAGAATCTCAATGTGAGTGCAAGCAATGAAAATTGAAGGAATGTAAGAGATACTAAAAAAGAAGTATAAAGGAATCAGTGACAATACCCAAGTCCTGAAACAGGTAGTTTCTGTGATTCGGCATGCATACAGAGGGTACATATTTCACCTAAGAACTCAAAGAGACAGTCTAGCTGGAATATATTAATTGAACTATTTAATAGCTTTAGTCAAAAACTAACAACAACTAAATGGTACATTATTTCATATGTTAGATCTCCTTTTTTCTTACCCTTGGACAAACCAAAAATTCAAAGAGACAGTCTAGCTTGAATATTTTAAGATTTTTTGACAGCACATGATTTATTTAAAAGTATTAAAACCTATGGCTTAGGAAAAAAGCCCTGCCTTAGCACAATCTACATGTTAAACCACCATTGTGAATTATGGCACCCTTATACTAGGCTTACATCTCTTATAGGAGTTTGGTCAATAGTTTATTGCCACATATGCTAAGACAGATAGCAATTCCTTATAACTATGTTCATTAGGCATGTTAATTACCCAGAAGATATTCCTTTTCTTTTATTTTCTCATTTAAAAACTAAGTGTATATTAAACAATTGAATTTTCCCTTAGGGATACAATGTGCCATATCTGTGATCATTATTTCTCCCTGAGACTTTAATCTTAAAATTCAATGCACTACTCAGGGATTCAAGTCAAAAACTAATAGTTAAATGGCATATTATTGAACATGTTGGGTCTCTTGTGGCTTTTTCCCTACCCTGAACAATCCAAATCATATGAGTGCCAACATACATATTTTCCACAGATATTTTTCAAAGGAATTATTTCCATAAATATTCAGGCATTTAGTCAATACAATTTTTTTCAAGAATCTTAACATTGTCAGGTCAACAAGCCTGACAATAACCAGGCAAACTATATAAATATTTGATTAGTATCAAGTGTTCAACTAATGTGTCCTAATTTTGAATTAATAATTAAAGTAAACATCTTAATGATTATAAAACATACATGTGACAAGTGTGATAATTAAAATTTAACATTTTAGTCCAGCCTAATTTCCTTCACATCTTGAATAGCAATATATTTGCCTGAGTTGAAAACTAATATTTAAATTTGAAATTAAACTGTGCCAATAATTCAGGTCTCTGGTTAATGTATATCCAAAATGTCTTTGGAAGTTTCAAGAATGCCAAGACTGTGTTGTATTTTAGAAATATCATCTGCATGTGTAAATAAATATCATCACAGAATTCTAAAGAGTGGATTTGTTAAAATACAGCTCAGATATTCTAATTTTTTAATGTTTCTTATTTCTGCCTATCTAAACTGATGTGAAAATATGATGAAAGAAAATATACTATACAAGTATATCTGTTCCATAATGTTAGACTTTAACATATTCTAAGTTTGAGAAACTTAACCATTAGAAATAAATTAATTTAAAAACCACTCATGCAGAAAGCCTGGGCTCCACATAACTTCAGGCATTGTATGAAAGATATGCTAAATCCATTATGTGTGTATAGAAGGAATCATAAATAAAGTTTTTTCAGATATCTTACTTCCTATTATCTATGATTTTTTAATACACAGTGAAGCATTCAGATATAAAATGTATGAAACTAAGAATATTAACTTTAAAAGGCATTATTTTTGAGAACTTTAAAAAAGGAAAACTATTTTTACCTCCCAGTCCTGGTCTAAGCCGATTATCGTAACCATCCAGAAGTCTGTCTAGAATTCTCGTAAAGATGGTAATGTTATTTTTAGCCTCATCTTCTTGGATGTTAGCCAGCACCAACCTAAACAGATAATTTTACAAGCTGATATATGTGTGTTTTGCAAATGCCAACATACTCCTCTTCCTTGATTTGAATGTTAAGCCTTCCTAAGCTATTAGTGCCATCAAAGTTCTTCCTTTTTTCTTTTTCACTTCTATACATACCACATCTGCAGGAAGGGTAAACACAATGCTAAAGAAAGATACTAAATGTAGATTATCAAAGCCTTGATATTAAAATTATTTGTGATTTCTACCACTTAGCATTCTATGTGGACTATTCACTTTATTTCTGAAATCTCTTCCCAACATTATATTATGATTATAGATGATCACATGCAGACACTGATGGTAATGTTATTCTGCACTTAGAAAAGTGCAACAATCAAAGAGACTCCTGAAATAATCCTTCAGTGTTTTGAATATTAATTGGAAAATAAATTGCCTCCTTGGAGGTATGAAACTTTTCTATCTCCCTCATACATGTCTTTCTTTTTCTCTTTATGTCTTGTTCTCTTTTAAACCAGAAGTATTCTCTTACTTTGGCTATACCTCCACCCAATGGCCAAGTGCAATATAGACATCAGGGAAACTCCTCTGACTGTGTGCCAGGCTCCACTGTAGCCAGGAGGTGGAGGTGGGCATTGAGAGCCCCAGAAACACATGGATCCTCAGAGTCCAGTGCCTCCCTATTGATCTCAGAGAATAGTCACAGGGACAACATAAAGATTAAAATGCCCAGTTACCTTTTTTGTGTGATAAATTTGTAGAAAGAACAAATGCTCTTAAAATATCACCAGAAAAGATACAGAAATAGTGATTTTCTCCATTATTTCTCCACCATAAAGCCAGACATCTGATTTTGTGACATCTAACAACTTGGTGCAGAAGTAAATAAATGTATAAACAGAATCTCCCTTTTCACTGCCATGTTTTTTTCCCTCCGAATGATTTAAAGATTTAAATTACTGACCCCAAAAAAGAATCATTTATATAATAGAATAAAATACTGGCATAAGCATTACTGGTCAAATATAGAACAGAAAACTAGTAGAAATAAGCTTGGTTAAGTACCGAGAAATTTCAGTGATTATTAATTGATCATGAATTGTTTGCTCCTTTCAAACCAAAGATTATATGTCATTACATTCTGATCAAGGTGCATTGTACAAAGAATCATAGACAGTGTCCATTTGCACTTAAATGATTTACAGAGACAGTAGCTAAAAATAGTCATAATACATCAAGGACTGGTAACCAAATTCAAACAAATATTGCCTTAAGAGCAGAGAAAAAACACTGACATAAAAATGAAGATAAACATTTACAAATTAAGTATATTAGTTTATATCCTCAAAAGTTTCTATATTGCCAGCTTAAAGAACCACATGATATTCAAAAAGTTCCACATAAAGATTTTTCACTCAAGTGTTTTTAATCACATTTCATATTTCCTTTCTAAAATCAATATGCAGGTGCTAAATGTGCAGAATTTTTCAAATAAAAACAAGACTTCATAACTAGATTGCTTCTTGAGTCTAAGAAATAGGTTCATACTTTATCCATTACTTGGACAGAAAAATAAAAAGTTAAAAGGAAGTAAAGGTATAATAAAGATGCACTGGTTTTCAAAAAAGAAATGGCTTCAAGAACATTCTTATAAAACCTGTAACTTAAGTCTTCTGGCATGTTGAAAATCGTATCCTAAAGGCATTAAATAAAAGATGACCACTGATGGTGAACAACAGAAAAGACTTCAACTAAGATGAAGTTAAGGCAAACAATAAGAATTGATTTTATGTTTGTAGAGCATAGGCAGAAGAAAATTAGTTCCAAGATTTTAAGTACTTCTTATGACAGTAACCATTTGAGGAATAAAGATCCCTAAATTAATAATACAAAAAGTTGATTAATAAATTAAGCTTTTGTTTTATTGTTTGTGATTCTGAAGTTGTAAACTATCTCCACCTAGAGGTTTAAGACTCACACACCATTTGGTTTTTCTATGTTGACTAAAAGGGCCATACCATGGAAAAAGAAAAAAAGAGAATTAAGTTAGCACTCCAGTCATCTTGGTGGTACTTTTCTGCCTGGCTTGAAGGAAAACTTGGCTTCCTTACTGAATTCTGGTGTTAGGTTAAGCGCATATACTTAACCACTTCCATTCCTTGTAAGAATAATCTTACAAAAGATATTCTTTTCTTCGGTGATTTTTTTTTTTTTTTTGGTACAGAATATATTTCTGTTCACTTTTGTATTTAATCACGAAAACAGGAAGGAGTGAACTTTCTATACTCTCTGCTACTCCATAGTTCACTTTCCTGGTACATCCTTCTTTTCTGAGAAATAATTCTTCAAAACACCCTAGATTCTCAAGAACCACCCCTGCATTGATGGCATCCAGGAAACACACCTCTCCCCTGAATCAAAAGCGTCAGATACAATAAACGTCTCACCTGGCTGGGTCCCACACCAAGAAAACAAGAAGCAACAAATGCATGTTGTCGATGGTCACTTGTGTCTTCATCTCCGCTCTTTACAAAGCCATGAAAGAAAAAAACAGAATACACTTAATATTGCCTTCAGTCCCACTATCCAAGTAACCCAAAACATCGTCCTTTCAAATAGGAATTGGAGTTAAAGCTATTGGCGATTACTTCAGTGGACTGAGTGCAGGGCTTGATGACTGGGTGGGAATGGGGATGGGTTTTTTTTGTTTGTTTGTTTTTTTTTGGTTTTTTTGTTTGTTTGTTTTTGACAGCAGAATGACCAAGTAATCAGACTTTGCTCTGCCAGGAACTTCCCCCCCGCCTCATCGTCAGCAGTCACTGTTGTGTGCACACCTGTCATCATCATATCCTGGACTTTAAACTGACACAGGAGCTGGAGAGGGGAGGGTCGCAGGGGGGAGTGGAAAAGGGGAGGAGAGACGGGGACTTCACGCCCCAGCCGCCTCCACTGAGACCACCCCCGCAACCTCAGCGGGAAAAGCCGGGGGCAACCAGCCCACTTCTTCAATTATGCTTCTTTTCATTACAGGGAATTGCGGTCCTCGCGTCTCCACTTATTTCACTTCCCTCACCATCATATATGAAATACAATAAAATAACCTTCCTCCCTGCCCACCCACGGTCGCCCAAGACCACGTCTCGAAGGCAGCCGGGTTCGGATCCAGTGCTGCGAAACGCTGCGTTGGACAGCTGCTCAGAGCCGCGATTACCGCCGGAGCCCGAGGAAGGCTCGGGATCCGACGCGGGCGGGCGGGCGGCGGCCGGCGCGGCGTGCAAAGTTGGAGACTATCAGAGCGCCAGGCTCGCGCGCTGCCGGGCGGGCGCCTCGGATTTCATGCCAGTTGCAAATACGCTCCGGGAGAGGAGTACCGAGATGATCTTCTCCGTGGGCTGGGGAGGAGGGGACGCGGAGCCTCCTCGGTCTCCAGGGCGCATCTGAGAGTGGGGAGGGGACCAGACATGCACGCGAGGCGCGCGGGCAGCTGGCGAGGGTCCCCGCGGGAGCCAGCGGGCGCGACCCTACCTGAAACAGCACGCAGAATCCCGGGTATCCTTCCCTTTGCCCCTGTCTGGAGGAGACGGGAAACTTGAGAAAGATGAAGAGAGAAAGAGAGAGGGAGTGAGAGTGAGAGAGAGGGGGAG